TCTTTCCTAATCGATGTAATTTGAATACAAATTGCGCTCCCCATCAATCGTAACCAGTCGAAGTTCAGTACTGCGCTTCTTTCCAGTCATTCTCGATCTATACTCTCGTAGTAGACATAGTTGTCGTGACATAGTGCTCACTGTGCCTCCATATTCCTCATTTTGTAGGGAATCGTTGTTATTGATAGTACCAATCCCAGTTATGCATAAAAGGAAGGTATCATGTCGTTGGTTTCAGTGTGCTCTAGCTGATATAATGTACGCATAAGTAAGAAAAAGCTTGGCTTCCAATGGATAGTAAGCCGCCCTTTAATCAGGGTCGTCGCAGGGTCTCGCAATAACACTGTGCTCTTACCTCATTGAATGGTTTGCGCGAGAGATCCGATTAAATGTACGCGCAGTGCATCAGGCGTGGGAAGCTCAGTCGATTCCACCGGTTTGAATTGGACGGCCGAGAGCGCATTAAATTGTGCTGGGATTAATAACTCTATCTGAACATCGAGTTCTTCTTCTGCTTCCTGATGTTGAAAGGGAGGTAGAGGCCGAGAGTGCGGCGTGGACAAGGGTTAATCAATCACCTTTTTTTTACATGTACGCGCTTACGAGGCCGTACTGTTAGACAACCACCTTGATCGGACCAGCAGGATCACGGCTTTCCTTGGCCGTGGGAGATGATGCTCAGTTGCGCAAAACACCTCCCGAGGACTCAGCTCCGGTGGACTTGGAAGTCACACGGCGTTCTGTGGTTCAGGTGAGGGGCCCCTTAGATCATTGAACTTGATTAGGCCAGTCTCTATTGTCGTCATTCTCTGTATCCCCGCTAACGTTGAACATTGGTCTTCTCGGAGGACGGAGGGTACAGTTAGTATACTCGTCAACAGCATTCAGTAATAATACCCATAAATTGAACAAGATAGGCACGAGTCCATCTTCCTTGGTGCTTTTTCGTCATACCGCGAATTAATCGTTGGGTACTCCTATCTAGAGCCTCGAAAGTTCCTGTTTCGAACGCAACTCACCGGTTACATAGGTTCCATATTCCGCAGAACCTCCAATAATCTATGTAGGTATAACCACTCGACCGCCCCTCCGAAAGGGCGCATCAACGTCGTAGGCTAGTAAAATTTAGAAGGGAAAGAAGGCATGCATCATGATATTAATATAGGAAATCAGTCGGTTTCACTAATAAAATGGCGTGCACTTACCATTGTAAGCCCGTGGGTGGATACAAATGTGATTGGGGAGGTAGAGGTTGCTCGCCGGTGGTTATAGTACCGGTCTATTCT